TTATGTTAGGTACTTCATTAATATTCAAGAAACAAACACAAAGTGTAACACAAATAAATACATTATTATAATGTCAATAAAAGTTTATACGAATACTAGCATTGCCCGCGGCTCCACCCGCGTTCAGATGACCAAAAACCAAATTCTTAGGTTTTACATATTAATGTACGCTTACATTGCAGTTTTTGTATTTTTTCTCAGAAATTAGACATTTTCCCGCGGTAAAAAGTATCCTATATGTTGACCCGGATAACCAACTATCACCATACCAAATTTCATCAAAATCTTGTGGTTTTTCTGTGATGCGGTAACAGACAGACAGACAAAAATTCTAAAAACTATAGATTCGGCCTCTGTATTGATAATAATGTTTATTTCAATAAGATTTTTCAAAAAATATTTAATGTACAGATTCGACTTAGTTACAATTTTATTATATGTATAATAGAGTTTGTGGAAAGACACCGAATCTGACTAAAAAGAAGGCAAAATATCTAATCGCACACATGAAGGCTATATGTAATTTCTGGGAACTTTATATTATGCAATTACTGTATTGTTTTAAGAAAACAAAGTTATTTAATGTCATAATATATAGATATAATTACCAAATTAGCCTAAAATAAATATAAGGATGTGGTTGAGGTTTAAGAGGAAGCAACGTGATATAATAGACGATAGATTTTTTGTATATTATTATAAATGTGAAAGGTTGTTTGTTTGTCCTTCTGTCACGCAACAACTGATAAATAAATTGAAGTAACTTTTTTTTGGTCACGCAACCTTTTTATACGTTGGGAAATGCATTTAACCCCAAGGTGTCGGACTCACCGGCAAAGCCAGTACTACCCACAAAAACCAACAGTACTTCCCTCGTCTTAATGTGGCGTCGTCAGATCGCTTACGAAGGCAGGTCTGCTAAAGCAGACCAGACAACCAAGAGGTTGCTCCCTCCCTCGATCCACTCTACCGTCCGAGAAGTACCAGGAGCAGCCCGCATGGTACACCGCCCACCGAAGCGGGCCACCCAGTGTGTCCACAACGACACACATCGGGGGATCGGGACCGGACAGGTATACACACATTGGGGGTTTATATCCTGCATTAACTCACAGGATACTTCTTATAGCTGAACCACGTGAGCAAAGTCGCAGGCGGAAACTAGTTATCTCATTGCGTAGATAATGTAAATGAAAGTTGACTTTGTTTATTGAGAGGTCAAGGTACATTTGTTGTTTAATAAATAAATAGGTTGGGACATTACCACACAGCGCCATCTAGTTCCATGGTAAGCTACGAGGCTTGTGTTATGGATACCAGATAATTGATAATTGATAATACAATAATATAAAACTTTAAATACATACATATTATAAATATAATTAAATAAATGAGATTGGCAACGCTCTGACGTTGCAAAATGAAGAAGATTTAATTAATTTGATGATCATTCTCCAGCAAGACTACGGTTTTTACGGCGTCACGATTTGAAGGTGAATTTAGATAGATCTCGATGAAATAAGATGAAATATATACAGCCCTTTTTAACGTCCCACTGCTGAGCGTGGGCCTCCCATCAATACGAGGGGGATCAGGCCATAGTCCACCACGCTGGTCAAGTGCGGGCGGACTGAGCATGTCTTTCGAAAACTTGCTAGGTTCTCTCAGACATGCAGGTTTCCTCGGTGTTTTCCTTCACCGTAAGGCAAATTTTAATTGTTTTAGATCTTCGAGTAACGATTTCTCGAAAACTGAGATATCGAAAAAAAATATTCTTATTATTCGTTTTATTTTTCAAAAATATATCGAATTCCGTCAAAGTAAAAAAATCATTTTTCGATTTTTGAGTATCGATATCTCGAAAACTAAGCGATTTCTACTTTTCATCTTATTTTGTAAGAAAGGTGTCGTAAGAATTTGCTTTAAAAAACAAATACAAACTATTTATAGTAATAAACAATTAAATGTCATTTTGTAATGTTGTTTCCTTAACAGATATTAAATTGATACAGCGTATACACATTGAAGTCAAGGCAATGCCCATCTAAAACGCCGTGAAGGTATGACGGATGACATTTATTATTTTTCGGCTACTTGTTTTCTTAAAAAAATACTAATTCTTACATACGGAATGGGTATGTCTTGTAAACCCATTAAAATCCCATCGATTTGAAGTAAATTAAATTGTCTTCGTAGATTTTACATGAAGTTACATGCCAAGTAGTGAAGCTCCCAAAAACGTGTTAGAAAAGAAATAAAAGCATTTATTCATTAGATTTACTGCATGGTTTACACCGATCTTGATGAAGATATCTTGAAGGAAATAAGCTAGTAAAAAACAAGTCATATTGTCTATCAGTATAAAATAAATGTTTGTAAGGAAATATCGGAATATAACATAGGTATCCATACTATAATATTATCATTGTGAAAGTTTGTGAGTATGTATGGATGTTTGTTACTCTTTCACGCCAGAACGGCTGAACGGATCTGGGTGAAATTTGGCATAGAGATAGATGATTTTGGAATAGCACATAAGTTACTTTTTATTTCGGAAAAATGTACAGTTCCCGTGGGATTTGTTGTTTTTGTCTTGGGACGAACCCGAAGCGAAGCAAGGGTGAATCGTGTATATATATATATATATATATATATATATATGGAAAATTTTGTACATAAAAGTACTTTAAATCCTATTGCTTAAAGAATAATTCAATTAAATTAGAAACATATCTGGGTTAAGGTGGGACAGATCATTATCATTAAATGTTTTTTTAATGGCGGAAAGAATTTAAGTTACTAGAAAACATTGCACCAATTAATTTACATAGTGAACTGATGATAGTTGCTTTCTATAATAAATTAACATATTAATTCTGTTTTTAACATTCATTGTATGCAATTTACTTGTTAGGGAAATACACTTTTATTATAAACTAGCATTGCCCGCGGCTCTGCCCGCGTTCAGATGACCAAAAACCAAATTCTTAGGTTTTACATATTAGTATACTCTTACATTGCAGTTTTTGTATTTTTTCTCAGAAATGAGATATTTTCCCGCAGTAAAAAGTATCCTATATGTTGACTCGGACAACCAGCTATTACTATACCAAATTTCATCAAAATCCCTCCAGTGTTTTTTCTGTGATGCGGTAACAGACAGACAGACAGATATATACTTTCATCCCTATTAAGGGCTGATTTCCGGGATAAAAACTATTTCAATTACTCACTTTTCATATCATGAGATTTAAAAAATCTTATTTTAGAATTAAAAAAAAATCTTTTAATTTTCTTCTATACAAAACTTCCTGACAATAACAAACACAAAAAAAAAGAATTATGCAATTTGGTGCAGTTGATCGGAAGTTATGCGCGTACATACATTTCGGTGATTCATTTTTATTTATAAAGATAATACCTATATGAATAATATTATGAATAATCACTTACGTGCTTATTTTTTGTCATATCACCAACTGCAAAAATAAAAATTGTTAGAAAAACCTATAAAATTAAACATTACCGACCTGTTGTTTGAATGTTATGCCATTAAAAATAACAAAAAATAAAATACAACAATCAATGCGTATTACATCAATAATATTTTATTTCGTTTATAAGATAATTAAAATAAACTTTATATTTTAAACGAAAAAAAGGGTAGATAAATATTTTGCTTTCCCGCCAAATACTTCTTGCTCTTGACCACAGATCATATAAAAGTAAATAATCATAACAGATTAAAAGATATATTATCATCAGCCATACAGATATTGCATATTTTTATTAATAAAGCTATGCAAACACTGAAGAAAGAAATAAGTTCATTCTAATATTTTATACTAACCGCCACAATATGCAATGTTCAATAACATACTATTATACAATTCGGTGCTCCAAATCGAAAAGATATATACATTCAAAAATAGAATTCTGTAATTTAATATATAATAATTTTATCAGTATAACTTTTTAAATTTTCGCGTTCCATAATTATATAATAATTACACTACAGGACTTAAACGTGTGACTCGCGTTTAAGTCCCGTAGTGTAATGTGTTATGTATTAGATACTTCTTTATAACAATAAAAAATAATTTTGAAGAATAAAATAATAATAATACGTAAAATATTTGAAAGTGTTAGTATCTACTATAATTATATTTTATATTAATTACATTGTCCTGAAGCCTTTATTATCATTTAACTTTATTGATATTTTACTTGGTTTTAAATTCAATCAAACGAATAATTTAAGATAACCATTTTTTTAAGATGACAATTAGTTACCTATTTTTAAAAACTTTCAATGTCATTACTTAAATGTTAATTTTAGTTATTAACTAAAGTATACTATATTTTAGTTATTAACTAAAATTAACTTATTATTAAAAGTAATGGTATTTAAGCTTCAAAGATAATTAGAGTCAAACTTAAAAATCATAAATAATAAGCAATGGAAATCTTAAAAAAATAGATTTTGAAGAAATAAAATATGTTTATATCTTATTTTAATCAATATATTTGTAATCGTTTGATATAATTAAAAATTTGAACTTGTTCAAAAACTAATTAAAATTTTACTAATTTTATTTTTCTGAAGAGTCACAAAATTGACTTTATTATTTCTTGAACTTGACTTAAATGTTTAACTGTTATGCGTAGTGTATCTAATAGCTTAATAATTTTATATTTTTAACTATAGCAACATCAGCGTACATAATAGTATTTCTGTTGGTATACCTGTAATTTTATAAATTAACAATTTTATCATCTGTGCTTATTCTGTTTTCTCTCAGTGTGTGTTGCTCAACTCAACGCAAGGATTTGTCATCATCTAGAATTCAGATAAAATAAAGTTATTTTGTTATAAAGACGCATTTATTTCTTCTTTGGAAAACAGTGCGATTATTGAACTGCTTTTGTAGTGCAAAAGGCGAGTGTAATAGTGTGATATTGTGTATAAAACGTATGGTGCAGACTAAACTCATCTCAAAATGAATATTACTTCAAGAACACCGAAAACTACGCCTATAACGGAGGATTACGATATCTCCAACACGGTCCTCGGCCTTGGGATCAACGGAAAAGTAAGTTTATTTAACATATCCTTCAAAATGTACAAAATCGGTTATTAATTTGTTTAAACTATTGTTTACATATATGACGTAAACGTACGGAATTAGCCTTAGTTTTTTTCAGAACCTGCTACTTATATTTTAATTAAAATATTTAGAACATCTTAATTTGTATCTAATAAATTATTTTTGAATGTAGTACATATTTTAAGGAATCAGAAGTGATTAAGTAATTTCGTAGGTTGACTCATTAATGCGTCTAAAGGCTATTATTGGCACGGGTATTCATTTAAAAATTAATACTTAAAAGTGAGAATACTAATGTATTGTCCTTGGCATTTAGGATTTTTTCAAACTTCCTTATGTTATATTTAATTACACTTAATTACTTTTAGTGTCTAATTATATTTAAATAATAATTTAACCGAGCTATACTTGCTTCCTGAAAAAAAAACAATTTTCACACAAATTGTTCTCAAAAATCTAACAACTTGGTTTTAGATAAAAAATTTGCAATATGCAATCTTTATGACATGTAGTAAATATCTATACACATAGATAAAACAAATTCGGGTTTGTTACAACACTTATAACTTGAGAACGGCTGGGCCGATTTTTATAATCTTCTTTTTGTTAGATCTGTCTTCACCCCGAATAGCAGACTAACTATTAAAACATCAAAAAATTCATGAATTAACATTAAAAAAACCAATCTATTCCATACTAAGCATGAAAACATACTTTGGGATGAATCTGAGCAAAGCGAGGGTGAATCGCTAGTAACTTAATAAAATTTTGCACCAAGTTCCCCATAACATTCCAGAAGGGAAATTTATGGGATTATTTATTATTATTAAGTATATAATAATAAAGAAAAAGTACATTTTATATATAAATAATAACCTACTCTAAATCATATCTATGATTGCAAGTAACAGCATTGTTATCAAGTCACTAAAATGATTAAACATTATCACGTGATAATATAATGGAGTTACATTAAAAGACAGACTGTTTACGATATTTTATATGTAAAATTAACAAATACGTGAGTTATATAATATATTTCTGCAAAATTATTATGGAATTTTTGAATAGTCCTTGTAAAGCAATAATTTTGCAGTAACTAAATCTTTGCAACCACTTTAACGAAATTCTCATATAGACACACATCTTAGATAAAATAAATCTTATCAAAAACATAACATGTAAAAATCACAAGTCTCACAACAGAGTTCTTCTACCTCTAAAACTTTGAGATCTAATGTAAAACCAAGTCAGTTGATTTATTCAGTACCTATCTATGGAAGCATCTATCCAAAAACTTTGTCATATATTGTTACCTAATTTGATAAATAACAAGATTTTATAGTGACTGTATTAATTTTAGATATATTTATTTCATTAATAAATAGAATGACTCCACAATCAAGTTCAGTTCAGCTCCACACACAGGATCGAAAATGCCGAGTCAGTCTGTTGGCTACAATTATCAGTTATAAAATTTTGTCATTTATTTAGAATATATATAACTATGTTTGTTTCTTTAACATTTAAGCTTAAACTAAACCAACCAATCCAAATAATAAATATGTACCTAATACAAATAAATAGCCATTTATAGTGTATAAGGATAGTCTACAAATTCATATACTTGTCTAACAAAACCGTGTACACAAATACAATATCTTAATTTAATATAATAATTTACTAACATTGTTATCCTTCTAATATTATAAATGTGAAAGTTTGTGAGGATGGATGGATGTTTGTTACACTTTTACACCAGAACGGTTGAACCAATCTAGATGAAATTTGGAACAGAGATATATTATAATCTGAAATAGCATATCGGTAACTTTTTATCCTGTAAAAATGTGCAAGCTCCGTGGGATAAATTTGTTTGTGTCCCATATGTTTGAAGAAAGAAAGATGCTGTATTCTCTCAGTCCGTAGAGAATATCTATAAGAAGAAATATATTCAATTGAGTACGAACTTAATATATTGATAGAAGCAAGTCAGGGCTATCTATCTATAGGCTAATGAACTCTTAATGATGCATAAACTTTGATCAAACTTAATGACGTAATTGCATGCGGGTACTAAAGGTATTTTTAGTTATGCTCCATTAAGAGGGATCTGTTCCTACTTAAAATAAATGTTGCCATACTTATTGGCACGAAATATATATATATATATTGTCTAGATTTGACCATATTTATTAAACATTATTGAAAACTTTAGGGTAATATTGTTTAACTTGCTTCCCAATACAAATTTTTATTACCATTATCACCCCCATAAGGGATGTTTTTCGGGATAAAAAGTATCCTATGTCCTTCCCAGGCTCTCAAAGTATCTGCTTTCCATATTTCATCTGAATCGAATAAGTTTCGGAGCCTATTCAGTACAAACAAACAAACAAATCTTTTCTCTTTATAATATATAGTATAGATTATTATAATGTTTCAATATTTAGAAACACATACATACATACATACATACATACATACCTCAACAAGTTAATGGTTTTGATTATTGCCTTTTGGCTACGAAAGAATAAAAAAAAATAAACGCATAGATTTATTTAACAAAATGTTGTACTCTTAAATGTACATATCCGCTCGGTTGACGCCTTTGATCCTTTCTTACGTTATCAATGTACGTACCTACGTCTTTTGCGTCATATTGCGACACTTGTGTGACGTGATTGCCATAAAATACGCAGAAATGAGGTAAACTGCTAATTTGCAATTATGTAATAAAATTGTTTGTTAGTAAATAGTAAATCTATACTAATATTATATAGAGGTAAAGTTTGTGAGTTTGTGAGGTTGTAGGAGGTAATCTCTGGATCTACTGAACCGATTTAGATGAACTTTGGTAAGAAGATAGTTTGAGACCCTGGGAAGGACATAGCATAGGTTAAAAGGAAGTTGGAATATGGGGAATCAATCATTTCTCAAGTAAGGGATTTATACTCATCATATCTATTCATACTTATAATAAAATTATATATAAAATTTCTGAGTCAAATCTGTACATTAAATATTTTTTGGAAAATATTATTGAAATAGACATTATTATCGATACAGAGGCCGAATCTATAGTTTTTAGAATTTTTGTCTGTCTGTCTGTTACCGCATCACAGAAAAACCACTGGAGGGATTTTGATGAAATTTGGTATGGCGATAGCTGATTATCCGGGTCAACATATAGGATACTTTTTACCGCAGAAAAATATCTCATTTCTGAGAAAAAATACAAAAACTGCAATGTAAGAGTATACTAAAATGTAAAACCTAAGAATTTGGTTTTTGGTCATCTGAACGCGGGCGGAGCCGCGGGCCATGCTAGTCTATGTTATATATAGATAATAGTCTATCTATTCCATATCAACAATATTAACCGTTAAAACGTACCTACGGACGAACCCGAGCGAAGCGAGGGTGAGTCTAGTAATTTATATTTATAACCACAGATGACTCATTAGTAGGCATACCAGTGAAGATAACCCATTCCTAAACAGGAAATAAGACGGCTTTAATACTGGCTATCTTTGTTTGCTTAGTTGAATTACCAATGGCATTGATCTGAAAACTATCGAACGATATACATACATAGTTTATGAACATGTACTACGGTCGAGAATCGAACTCGCGCGCTCCTACATCTATTATTTGTACCATCTATCTATGAATGATGAAACTCTGATGGCTTATTCTATAAGCGCCTGCGAAGGTTCCTGGCGCAAAGAGAATTTTTCTATGACTGTTTGTCTTTTTAAGGTTCCTTAACCATTCAAGTTTAGGGACGTACGCTAGTAATATATAAATCTAAAGATTTTTTTTTATTTTAACACGCTAATTTAAAAATCTACTGGACTGATTTAAATAAAACTTTTTACGTTTTATAGCTTACTTATTGTCTAGCAGTACCCGCGGCTTGGCCTGCGGTCAAATTTCCGATATAAACATCACTTTTACGATAATGGAAGTCTTCCCGATTTGTTGACATTTATGATTACTGCTCCGCTCCCTTGTAGTAGCATGATTATATATAGCCTATAGACTTCCTCAATAAACGGGCTATCTAATATAAAAAAAAATTTTTAAATTGGATTAGTAGTTCCTGAGATTACCGCGTTCAAACAAACAAACTCTGTTTCTATATAATATTGGTATAAATTAACACTCCCAGGTAAATTTCTAAGAAATTAATTAAAATTCTAAAAAATCTATTGTTAAATGACACTACGACATGCGGGAGCGGAGACATTCTATAAAATTAAACGATGCGGGCGTATCCGCGAGAAATCGCTAGTATTTTGATCGTCGTTGTAACTCGTATTTGAAACAAGAGATAACAGGATATCGCCCTTGACGTTGAGTCAGTAGGAATAAATAACGACGTGACACGTCAAGCTTTCCAAAGATAATGTTAAAAATATAAAAAATATTATTTATGGGTAGGTACATGTATATCTATACTAATATTATAAAGAGAAAAGATTTGGTTTTTGTTTGTTTGTACTGAATAGGCTCCGATTCCGAAATTACTGAACCAATTTAGATGATAATGGTAAGAGTTTGAGACCCTGGGAAGGACATAGGATAGTTTTTATCCCGGAAATCATCCCTTAGGGGCGTGAAAATGGGGATGAAAGTTTGTATGGGGAATCAACCTAGGAACGAACCCGAGCGAAGCGAGGATGACTGAGATTTACATACATAATATATGTTTGAGTAAATTGTAACCAAACGTAAATAGTAAATACTTTATTAGTACTTAAATATGAAATGCCTTGTTATTTATTTACTTATCTAAGTAAAGGGGATTTGTAAGTGTACGAAAAAAAAATTCAAAAAAATAAATTCAATTAAATAAAATGCATTAAAAATATTATTTTTTCGGGAGATTATATTAACACCTATTTTTTTTAAGTTGGGAAATGCATTTACACCACTTGTAGATACACACAGGTGGTTATATGGGACTCACCGGCTAGAAG